ATTAAGAAACTACATATATTATGTAAATTATTTTTCTTTTTTACATTAAAACATCATTTATTATTTAAAATTTATTAACTTATACTCCCTCTGTTTCACAAAGAGTGTCATTTTTGAGTTTTGCACACAGATTAAGAAAATATTAAATTTTTTGTTTTTTCTAAACAAAAACATCATTAACTATATACCTAAATATAATCTGCCCAATAGTAAAACAATCCGCAGAATACTAATAGTCATAAAACATAAAAAAATCATTAAATTTTGCATTGAAAACCTAAAACGACACTCTTTGTGAAACAAAAATAAAACCTTAAAACGACACTCTTTATGAAACGGATGGAGTAGTGATTATCAATTTAAAATTATTAATTTATAGAGGTTTTATTGTACATTCAATAATTGTATAACTATCCACTTATTATTCTTATGCATCACATATATTATTACAGCTAATAAATTTTCCCGCAACATGCGTAAAAGCGAACCACCTAGTTACCCCTTATATATATTCAGTTTGTCCAAATAACGTAAAACCTCTATAAATTAATATTCGGTAAATTAATAATCACTATAAATTGTTAAATATTTTTTTTAACGAGTGGGGCCAATGTAATATTTTACACAATTCGATAAAATAATAATATAATAAGTTTTGAAAATCTTCTGTAGATATATGGTCATATCAATATCATAAATTAATAATTATAGAAAATTATCAGTATATATATATGTAAGAAGATTTAGTCAAATATGAGTTTAGTATTGTTTGTTTTTCTTAAATTTACATTAATATTTTGTGGAGTTCATTTCTAATATTTTTACTACATAAAAACTTTTGTGTTGTAGACATAATAATTCTTTTTACTTATAATTGGATTGTAAAGGATATTGATTCTAACGAAGAAATAAAAAATATTTGCACAAAGAAAAATTTCAAGAGATTTCAAAATTAGCCAAAACTCTTTATAAATTAGTAATAATTAATTTTGTAAGAGTTCATTTCTAATATTTTCAGTGTAACAAAAACTTTTGGGTGTTGTATTTTAGTCACAATTATAACCAAAAATCTTATTTTTGAATATAAGTCTTTTTTTTAAAGTTAGCCAAAATAATTTCTAATTATAAATTGATCGAAAAATTAATACTTTTACACATTAATAGACGGTCTTGGTATTATTAATTTATTGTAAAGAAATGGGAACAACAAAGCTATTTTCAAACACTAAGCAACAACAACCAAAAATTCAAATATTTACTATTTTTGAGGTCCATTAATGGGAAAAATGTCGTTTTATCTCCCAACTTTTAAAAAGTGGCCAATCAATACGTCAACTTCATATGTGGCCATTTAAAACATGAAATAAACGTTGACTAACGTTTGAGACATGAAAATTCGTTGACCAGGCCAAAATAGACATGCCGTTATCAGTCGTTAACGGAACCTCTAACGCCCGTTATCACCCGTATCGACTCTGTTAATCAACTTTCAAATTGTGGCCATTTTAAACATCAACTTCATATGTGGCCATTCAAATATTTTCAATACTTTGCATAGAATCGGATACAAAATTTCTAATATTTGGATACTTTGGGTAAACCCGAATCCGAACCCGAAATACCCGATCCGAACCTGACCCGAACCCGAAGTTTTAAAATACCCGAACGGGTCTTAGTTTTCTAAACCCGAAAAACCCAAACCCAAAAAACCTGACCCGAACCCGACCCGAATATCCGAACGCCCATGCCTAATTTAGTCCTATGATGGGTCTACAAGTTTGCTTCCATGATTCCTTTTTAGATTTAAAACAAATATATAAACGATGTTTGCTTCTAATTACTGGCTCTACGATTGTCTCTATATCAAACCATGTCCTTGGATTATGCTTTAAACAAAAAATTTGTCCTGATTTTCTCTCGATTATTTTCAAAACGACGTCGTTTTGGACATACTAACAGAGTCGTTAGCGGGTGATAACGGATGTTATAGGTTCTGTTAACGAATGATGACGATATGTCTATTTTGGCCTGGTCAACGAATTCTAATGTTTCAAATGTTAGTCAACGATTAGTTCATGTTTTGAATGGCCACATATGAAGTTGATGTTTAAATTGGCCACAATTTGAAAGTTGATTAACAGAGTCGTTACGGGTGATAACGGGCGTTAGAGGTTCCGTTAACGACTGATAACGGCATGTCTATTTTGGCCTGGTCAACGAATTTTCACGTCTCAAACGTTAGTCAACGTTTATTTCATGTTTTAAATGGCCACATATGAAGTTGACGTATTGATTGGCCACTTTTTGAAAGTTGGGAGATAAAATGACATTTTTCCCGTCCATTAATAGATCCAACTAAATTACTGTTTCTATACTTAGCCCAACTACTAAAATTAGCCTTTCATGTTCTTCGTGGATGTTTCTCACATGCTCAAGAACTCTAGTAGTGAAAGTGATATCAAATCCCTAAATTTGTTCTACTTCTTTTCTGTTGAAGTTCCTTCCTGACCCTAAGTCCACATGGTTCACTCTCTGCTGGAAACCTAATCAAACCTTAAAGAAAAAGTCAAGCGGGTATGTTTCGGTCTGAATCCCAATTTACCGTTAACCTCTATCGAACTCTAACAAAAGTCACCAAGTAGAAAAAGAAGACTATAACAATCTTGTAGGGGTTGGTTCTAATGTCTACGCCATTATCGGATCCATCAATGTCGTTCTCACATGTGGCAAGATATTGTTATAGTCTTATTAAGGTTGCGAATTAACGTGGAAAGATGGTGGTTTTGTGGGATAAGTATTTACCTTTTAGAGGCTATAACGATTTTCAGATGAATGTTATAAGCATCATTTGGGTTTTAAAACCTTTGAGGGTTAGCTTATTTGGTGCTGCTTAAACGCTCTATGATTTTGCATTTATAGCTTATCAAAACTTCCAATTAATGCACACACATGCATAGGATCAAAGAGGTTCTGAGACTTACCTCAATGGTGATTTTGGTTGGTGTAACCGTGTAAGATCTGAGGATCTATACCCGAGATTTGCTGTAATATCGGAACAATTGAAGTAAACTAGTCATCACATAACAAAATGGCTGAGATTGTGGAAAGCTATAGATCATGGAGGTGCAAAGAAACATACTATACATGGAAACTCTCGCCCTGTCGTTAGTGTATGGTTCAACTTGTGTATCTGAAATAGTTGAAAGATGATTTGAAGCCTATGTGGATTCACAAATGATCAAAACTTGGTTAGAGTTAGTGAGTGTTTATGTCAGGACTTATTTGTCTTGTCACTACTAGTTGTTATATTTAATATTCCAAGTGTTAAATGTGTTTGTTGTGTAGAAAACTTTGTTAATATCATCTCTCTAATGGATAGTGTTTGTTGTAGTGTAGATAGAGAAGTTTATATCTAGATAAAGCCGCCCTAAACACTTTCTCTTCTATTGTTTCCCTTGTTCTTAATTACTTATATTTCAATCCATTTTTTTTTTTTTTAATACCAGGAGGTTCTGGGCTGACGAAGCCCGTAAACCCCCCAGGCCCGAAACCACAACATGTAATATCAATTACTTATATTTCAATCCATCTTTATCAAATACACTGTACAGTTAAGAATTTTCATATACAATTAAATTTGGATTAAATGTAAGTCTGAAATTGTTACATTTGATTCGACAACGATTAATTACAACAAAATAGAAAGATTAACAACAACATAATTAATGAACAAACAAAAATTCACAGAATGAGTAACAATACTACTTTTGTTGACACATTTATGATTAAAAACAACAAAAAATAAAGATAACAACATCACAATGGGTGGAAGCCCCCTTGGCTCATTGGTTGACCAAGGGTTAATTAATGCTTCTACACCAAAAGATCCGGGGTTCGAGTCCCAGATATTGCGATTTATTAATAAATTTGCAGATTAAAGGCGGCAAGTGTACATGAGATCTCCAGCGAAGTACAATTATAGCCGTTCGCCAGGATTCTACACAGAGAGAGAAGTGTCGTCAGGTCGTGGATCATTGAAGGTGTCCGTCAAGAGCATGGAGAAGGAAGTATCGTCTGTCGTGAATCTAATAAGGGTCGGAAGGAATTGTCCGTTGTAAAATCGTCTATGTAACAGTTCTCATAATTTGCAATAAATAATAAATCTAGACGTCAAAAAAAAAAACAACATCACAATGGACTGCCCTCGACGCCATTAACGGATCTGATTCGAGCACAGAAATAAAGATAATCCACAGAAATTTATATACTTTATTCTTCCTCCTCCAACGACGTTGCTCCAACGCAATCTCATCTTCGTTTTCGTTATATTAATATGATATATTGACTTCTTCTTTTTTGATTTTTAACCAAATAAAATTGAATTTTTTGAAAAAGATAAAATAAGAGGTTTCATTTAATAATTAATTCACATGTAATGTATAAAACTTACACTATTCATTAAACGGAGTATAAAAGACAATTTAGATTAGTATGTGTATTTTTCAAGGAATGAAAATAAATTCATGTATTAAACAAAAAAGTTTCATGCAATCTCCTATACTTGAATTAATCCTACGGAATCAACACGGCTCCTACTCTAATCTCTTACTCAGCTTTCTTATTGCATTCCAATGTCTTGCGGACCACACACTTTTCCCTAGCTTTTGTTTTCTTTTCCAAATTCAATGTCTTCGTATCTCAACCCGTTGTAACTTTACTTCAGTTCACAATCGTTTCAAAAAGAATCCTAAAAACTTTTAAATATGCATTGTATCTTGGGGTTATATGTGTCGTAAAGGCCTGTGAGCTGTCGATTGTGGTGGGAAATGGACAACATTAATGTTCCAATTTTCAACAGTCGGCTATGGACTATGTCACACGTACGAATGACCAACAATTGGACCGATCAGCAGTCAGAATCGTTGACGTTACATTTGCTTTTTTCCTAATTAATTATGACGGTAAAAAAGATTTTAAAACATGTGGTGCAAATTAACACAAATCTAAGTTCGATTTTACAACATTACATGATGAATTTACAAAAGAAAAAAAAATTGTAGTCAAAATTAAAATAATACTCTATCACTCTATGCATATTGAAAGTTGTAACAAGCTGTGCATTTGTGGAAGTCATATACATGTTAAACGAATAATAAATATACACAAGGATCTTTGACTTTTCGAATATTTTTTAAACATACAACGTCCAGAGATAAAATAGCTGTACTTTTTTTTTTTTTTTTGATATTTTGATTCTTTTTCAAGCCGCCACGTAAAAACATTGATAACCTCACCTGGTCTTCACGTACGTCCGGGTCCACAAATGCATGTTATTGTTACTATTATGATGATGGTATGGATGAATATGATGAAAACGATGATGATGATGATGATTGTTCTTGTACCTCCATTCTCTCGTGTCATGATCATCATGGAAATGTGCTACATCATTATCACTATTCACCGAAACCTCATGACTAGTTTTACATCTCCAACGTTTTGCAACATCATTGATCATAGATAAATCCACCACTTCATCACATGCACCATCATTGTCATCTTCAAGAATCTCTGTACCCCATTTCAGATCAGATCTACTTATCTCCCCTCCCTCGTTCTCATTACCTAGACCCTTAGGTCCGTCTTCTAAGGCAACGATTTCTTCGGGACCACAACAACCTCTAATGGGATTCTCGACACCATCGACAAAATGTAATCTCAACCGTCCATCTTCTCTAGAAGCGTGGAAAATCTCTGGTCGATTGATCATAACTTGCGTAAGTTCCAATCTACCATCCTTCCTTACCGGCCGGAGATAAAAAGACCGTTTTCCTCGGCCGTTAAACGACGAGAGAGGCGGAGGAAACTTTTTTCCCGGCTCTCGCGCCACCACATTCTCCTTCGTCTTCCTCCTCTTTGTTTCGACCCTTTCGGTCTCCACCTCCACGTGACAAGTCATCTTATTCTCCACCTCGTTATCGGACATCCTCATGTCGTAACTCTCGAACCCTAGATACTCTGTACACAACATTAAACCATTCGCCTCGTCATGGCCAAGACCGGATTCAAACGGCATCGTTTTGGTGTTGGTTTGGCCAAGGAAAGAGTGAAAGCTTCTTTTGTAGAAGCTCATCTTGGTAACAAGAGAGAGAGGGTGACAAGATAGATACCTTCCTTATTTGTATTATTCTGATGATTGATGAATAATTATTACACATTTTTGTTTATAACAGAACAAGAATAGAAAAAAAAAAGTCAAGAAAAGATAAATGGAAAAGAGATAGATAATCGAAAGAAGCGGTGTTTTGCTTGGTGAATAAAGGTGCCACCGAAGAAGATGACCTGTAGAGATTAGAAGAAAACGTAAGTTAGGTCACACGTCAGATGGTTTCACACTTCAATCTTTTTAGTTTTTTTCACTTATTTTTAATTGGTTTTCTCTCTTGTTATGTGATATAAAATTAAAAAGAGGGAAAATTGACTAACTTTTTTTTTTTTTTTTTTTTTTTGTTAAAGGAGAATAAGGAAACAAGGTCAAAATTTTCTCTTTTATATATCTAAAAAAACAATTTGGATCCTATGAATATCTAAGAAGATTAGACGGAACACATATCATGTGTTTGTCTATTTATAGGTTGATTTGGTCTTTGTGCTTGTTAGTTTAAACTGAGGTTTACCTAAGACGGACGTGTTTTGAAATCATCAACTGTTGATATAACAATTTGTTAATGTTATAGAACTATAATGAAATATACTTATATGTATGAGGTAATGAAATTTATAATTGAAGAGAAAGAGTGATGGATAGGACGAGTGGGAGAAAGTGAGTGAAGTAACAAAAGTGAAGCTTTTTGTTATTGCTTTTTACAACCAACGTTTACAACTTCAAAATATACAAGTATTAATTACTTGCTAACAAAGTAACTTGGGACCAAGAGATCTCCACAGTTAAGTGATGGATAATCACTAAGTTTTTTAACAGTTATTATATTTCACTAACATCAATATCATAATTTTTGAAAGTTGTTTCAATAGTTAATCTTAATTATTGTAACGCCCCGACCGTCCCTACTAGTGGTCCCACGTCCTCTCTCTGGCCCATCGGCGTATCCCTGTCCGACGGCCGGTCCGCTATATCCGGGAGGCTTTAAATATTTGTCTACCGACCTTACAAATTACCACATGATCTTTCTCTGTATTTTGTCCCCACTCACACAGTTCCGACAATCACTTCCCGGAAGGTCACCCATCCTGAAACTACTCTAGCTCAAGCACCATTAATTGTGGAGTTCTCTTAGGACAGTTGACCGAAAAGATAAGTGCACTTTGGTGACATAGGTTGCCAAATCAATTTTTTTAAACCTCTCCGCATGCACCACCAGATTCCTGAAACCAGGGTGTTACAATTCACCCCCACTAACAGATCGCAACGTCCTCGTTGCGCACCAAGACCGTCACCCTCTACGGTGTGAGCCCTATTGACTCCACACGTGATAGTAGGAGTTTAACTAAGATCAATTATCCTTAAAGTACTATCATGTCATTGCAGTATTTAAGGTGTCAATCCAAATGGGTGTGATGCTAGCAATCAAGATGCAATCAGATATCACAGAGTCAAGCCAAGCAATAACAGGTTTTGGTGTTGTTAACAGCTCTAGCGATCATGCAGATAACATAAATTCTAACAATAACAGGCAATATACTCGATCACACAGCTTGATGCCAAGCACTGGATGTGGTCGAGTATCAGGTCGAGTAATTTAACAGAAACTGTAAACAGGGTACTCGACTGCACAGTTTGTTACCAAACTACTGGGTGTGGTCGAGTACTTCAAATGAAACAGGGTAGAAATGATAAAACTGAGCAACAAGTAACAAGATCAAGCAATCAATAGCGATGTAAACAAGGAAATCAAATGGAAGAGAAATTCCCGAGGATGGGGTGATCGAGTAGTGAAGTCTCCTTAATCTAACAGGTGGTTAACATGCTCAACAAACTATCCCTAGACAACAAGTTCAATAGCCAAATCAAAGTGCTACCGCAACAGAGATCCTCAAGCAAAGCTAGTCCCAGACTCAATCACCATTGACGAGAGGTAACCTAACAGGCATTACGAAACAACAAGTCTAAGCCAAAACGCTCCATGTAACCAATACCTTGGTACAGAGCCACGAATCTCTGGAATTAGTGGTTCAGACATTTCATCGAACACCTTTTGGGTGCGGAAATGTCTGGGCTCAGATTCCAGTTGATCAGAAAGCAATCAGCATTAAGAACAACTAATCCAGAAGGGATCTACCAATCAAACTCAACCACCTAGCAGATCAAGGATTCTAAACTACTCTAACCCATCCTCAAGAACCCTAATCACTACTCAAAATTCATAACCAAGAACACAAACCCAGAAATACATAAAAACTTCATATTAGCAAGATCTCAACAAGATGAACAACTTTGTAGAAGAAATCAAAAGCAAATACTCAATAGATTAAGAGAAATCTGGATTACAAATATGAAGAAAGCACTAATTGTTCTGCAGAATAAAACTTTGTCTGAAAATTATGAGAAACAACCTATTTATAGCAAATACTAGGAAACCCTAAATCACAAGACGACAAAGTATTAAGGCGGTTTACGGAGATACTCGACCCTTGTGATCGAGTAGAGAGGTTGAATAAAGTTGGCGCCTTTGCGATTTCTTGCTCTGGGCATGTTGTGATCGAGCACTTGGGTCGAGTATGTGCTTGCGTTCTGCTTCATCCTCTTCTCTTCCTTATGCTCAATGTCTGGTTGAGTTGGGATCTGAGAAGACTTTGAAGCTTGTGATCAAGTGGCTGCGTGGAGGTGGTGATCGAGTGTCTGGTCGAGTGATCTGAGGGAAGCTTGCTGGGAGTGCTCGACTGACACGATCGAGTGGTTGATCGAGTGATCCAGATACACAAGGACGCCGGGTTGCTCGACCACACGGTCGAGTATGATGACAGAGGATGCGATCAAGTGTTGTGGCAGGTTATGGTCGAGCATCTGCTTCAGTGGCCAGGATGATGGTATTCGACCTCGTGGTCGAGTACACTGATTGGTTTCGGTCCACTTCCTCCAATTTGTTCACCAATAGCTCCAATTCTCACCTGAAAACATCACAAATATGCAACATGCATGCAAAACTATCCTAAACATGTAAAGTGATGACAAATAATGAGAAATGGTATGAAACAGTGGTGAAATGATGCTAAAGTTACGACAAATGAATGCTCAAAACAAGTAAAATATAGACATATCAACTCCCCCAAACTTAGTCTTTGCTTGCCCTCAAGCAAACAATTAAGAACAAGCTGGAGGAGAAGTTTGAAAGCGGGGACTCAGAACCAAAGCGTGCAGACAAAGAAAATGAACTCAATGTCCAAGTTAGTAATTGTGGAATGCATAGAGACCAAACTCTACTTAAAAACTTTAGCCATATTCATCACAAGACAACCTAACATTTGTTCCAATCTACACACACCTTCAGATCATCAATTCCCTTTAACATTGATTAAGCTCAAACCATGAATCAAGCAAAACATTGTTGAAGAATTCGTTTGGTTTAAAGGACAAGACTGAGAAACAAAGATGGTTCCTCTGTAAATGGTTTCAGACTTTTTCACAGTAACAGGGAACTCTCATGAATGGACAGAGCTTTAGTAGAATGCTAAAGGTTAGAACCAACCTACGCATACAAGAACAGACCCCATCTACCCAAATAACCATAATCATATCAAACTCCATAGATGGTCCTATCTCTAAACCCCAGAAATGATCCTAATTCTACCCTTTGTACTCAAGGCATGCTTCGATAATCTCTTGGATCAACCCATTCTTTCTTTTTGGTTTTGTTCTAAGGAGATGTTTTCTTTTAGACTTTCTAGTGGATTGGGACTTTCTTTAACAACTAAGGCTCTTCTTCTCATCTCATGACTTAAGACAACTCTAGGCTTTTGCCTTTCTTTTTACTTTGCACAGAGCCTAACTTCTTTTATTTTCAAGCTTCCCAAATCCTTTACTAGACTAACAAGATATTCTTTTCTATTTCACTTCCATCTCCTAAGAACAATAACACTTGTCTTTCTTTCTCATTTTCTTTCCAAACACATTCCAAAACCCAAAGTAAAACTCCCACCTAGTCCTATCTAGCCCAAAAAGCGTGGACTAGAACTACATGGGATACTATTCTTGTCGGTTCATACCTAACACTTTCTACCAAGCTCAATCCGGAAATAGGCCTCACACACACACAAATTTATTCAGGGCTTGAAAGAAAGGTTAGGTTCAGGGTGGGGGAAACTGTTCCAATAATGGGAATCAGCTACTTGGATTAGCAAGAGTGGTAGAAGGTGAAAGAAAATCCAAGTATGTGTATTGGTAGCCACAAGTTCAACAACAATGCAAAGACATGATAATTATAAGTCAAGTTCAGGTTCTAATAGATAGGGAAAAGAATCACATCAAGCATGCTTCAATTAAAACAAGAGAGTCAAGTTGTGAATTCCAAATATGGTGCTGTCTTACTTCAAGTTCTATCACAAGCATTAAACAACTAACAACGAGGGCATTGAATTCATTCAGTAAATGAGCAAGCTTACAAGGTTATCTCATCATCATCCCCTATGCATATGCAACAATCCTATATGACACATTCTAGACTCAATCCTAAAATGACAATGCAGCTACATGAACACTCTGTTTTTGTGAAATCATTTTCAAAAAATTTCAAATTTTTATGGTTTTTCTATGCCTTAGATGCAATGATGCAAAATTTGAAAGAAGAAAACAAAACATAATGTCAAATACTCCCTGAGCCCTCCCTCAAACTTAAATTACACAGTCCTCTGTGTAACAAGCATTTGGAAGAGAGTACTCAGGGCAAACCAACAGAGAAACAAAATGAAATGTGGTATATACAATGGTGAATTGGAGTTGTTACCTCATGGATGGGTGAAGAAGGAGGTGATTGACCTAGTACTGGTGGGCTTCATGGGCTAACTCGACGTCTCATCGAGCAGGTACGTCGAGTAGGGCTTTGGTTTTGGTTTGGAGTGACACCAAGGGGCAAGCTCGACTTCACGTCGAGGAGGGCAGGTCGAGTCAAGTCCACTCACTCTGTTTTGCGCCTTGGCTTCCTTAAAACGCTTTATCCTGAGACACTTAAGCAAAAACATAAAAAATAACAAGGAAATAACTAATATTTACAAGGATAGACATGGGACTTCCTCCCAAGTGAGCTTGTTTAAAGTCTTTAGCTTGACTTCTCACACTGAATGAGCTTAGGGTG